AAGCTGAACAATTGACCTATTAAACAAACTGGCCAAAATAATGAGGTAATTGTGTGCAAAGTTCTCTTTTTGAACAAATGTATCCTAGGCGAGTTATGCCCCCTTTCTCAAAATGTAAACAATTAGTAATTCAACCCGGATGTGCCACGCCCACCTCAACTTTTTTGGCATAGGTTAATTCATATTCAAATTGTCTTGTTGTGTTCCAAGTTTCAATGTTCTACATAAAATAGGTCATAAGATATATACACACCAAGCTCAAAGAAACAGAAATATTGTAAAAAAAAAACTCAAATTTGAAAAATTCACGAATTTCAATTTTGCTTTAAAAAACGATTGTTATAAATCATTTGAAAGAGCATGAAAAGCACATTAAGAATCCGAAAAAATTAACCCTCTAGGTTAAATAGGTCACGTGCTAGAGCAGTCCAAAGTTGCGAATTTGGCTGTTTTCGGACAGCTATAAAACCGGAAGTACATGTCGGAGGTCAAATGTCAAAGTATTAACTGATAGCTAAGGTCAATGACCTTTGACCTTATGAAGGTCAAGGTCATCAAAGTTCACGATCACGAGATATGACCCTTCAAACTTTGAAAAAATTCAACCGGATGTTGAAAGCAAAGTCCCACAATAATGAGGATTGTAATGATGATGGTAAAAATGTACTTTTTAAACGAATTCCTGATGAAACTGTTGTAACTGATAGTGTGTTAAGCTCCCAGACTGAGAGTGAAATGTGTGTCGACGAACTGTCACAATCGTTTAGCATAGATGAATCTGATAAAAATCGGGGCAAACGAGCAAGGAAAAAGAAACTGCATAGTGAATCAGATGATGATTTTCTTAAGATAATACATGAACGCAAAGTGAAGAAATCTTGTCAAAAAATTAAATCTCAAGTTTTACAAAATGTTCCTGATAAAGATGTTGTTAATTATGTTTCTAAAAGTCAACCAATTAAGAAATAACATTCATGTTTTTTTTCATTCTATTATTTTCTATACTCATCATGGTAAAGATTGCTTCTATCAATGTTAATGTTTTAAGGAGTGTTCCTAAATTTGAAAAACTTGTGTCATATTTGCATAATCAAAATTTAGATTTTATATGTGTACAAGAAACACATTGGGATGACAATTTTGTAAAGTCTTATAAACATTTGTGGGATGGTAATATATTTTTTAGTAACAGTAAAGATGGGTATAAAGGCTGTGCTTTGCATGTATCAAAACAATTTATTGATAAATGTAATTTTGTTTATAGTGATGGTGAAGGAAGACATTTAGAATGTCAGGTAGTTATTAATAATTTTATTTTAATGTGTTTATATGCTCCTAATGATGAATTATCAAGGAAAACTTGGTTCAGGTCTGTTATAGAGGTCTGTATATATCAATACAAATGATAATGTTGTTTTGTGTGGAGATTTTAATGATGTTTTAAACCCCTTCACTGATAGATCTAAGAATATGTCCACTTTTGGTAAATCGTCTCATTCCCTTTCTACTTTTGTAAATAATTGTAATTTATATGATATATGGAAAAGGAAAAATACAGATAAAGTTATATTTACACGTCAGCAATTTGTTAATGGTGTTTTAAAACAATCTCGTTTAGATTATATTTTTGTTTCATCTTCATTTTTATCATATTCTCAGTATTGTTTTGTTTCACACAATAGTTTTAGTGTCCATAGTTTTGTAACTTT